TAGAGTTATTTTCTATTTCAGCAGTAATAACAGCCTTGACTTTTTAGTGCCAGCGAGTGGCACTTCAGGTAGCTTTTCTCATGAAGTAATCAGACACGCCTCAGAGGTCTTTCCGGGGGTGGCGCAGCCTGCTTCTGTCACGGCGAGGCCCCCAGGTCCCCGGTGACTGCGACGGGGTAGGAGCTCATACAGTTGCATTGCGTGGGGTCACCTGTCGTGAGCTGCGTGTTGGTGCAGAGCACGGGGCGCTCTTGGGGGCCCCTGAGCGCGGGCGTGCCCGCTGCCTGCTTGCTTTCAGAATGCGGACTGAGTGTCCTTGGTGTGTTCTGTCGCAGGCGGGCTGCGTGCCCGGGGCCTTGGCCGTGCGGGAGGCCTGCCTGTGGGGTGGGCCCCACGTTTTTCCCTTCTCCTGCCCCTAACACCTGTCAGGGGCCTCGCTGGTCCTTGGACACACCCTCACTCCCCTCTGAATGAACCCCCTTTTCTTCAGGTAAAGAAAAGTGCCCGGTGTTTCTCCTCCGTCCCCGCTTTCCTGTCTGGCTTTGACCCCTCGTCCCGCTGACTCTGTCTTTTGCGTTGTGTGTGAGAAGATCAGTGATGTTGAGCCAGACAGACCTCTGTGGGCCCTCTCAGGCACTGAACTCTTGTTAGGTTTTTTGGGGTGCTCGTGTCCCCACGATCACAAGCCCATGACGTGGAGATGCGCATTTCTGACCCCCCACTCAAGACAGGGTGACCCATCGATGGCACGCATGCTAATGATAATACCTTTGCCAGCGAATCTTTATTTGTAGGTCGTTAGATGCAAACTTCTGCCCTTATTTAAATAATCACAGATTTTCCTGTCATTTAGCCCAAACGAGGAAGAATGTATCGTACTTGCTTTTGAACAAACCTAAAATATGTGTGAGTTTGTGATATGCACACGTACGCCCCTTCATTTCTTTATTCGTCTAATTTCATTTTGGGGTAAAAAGCGATGACTCCATGTTGGTATAATTAAAAATTCCTCAGTGTGCGGACTGAGGCACGGTGCTCCCGGGCAAGTGCGAACGGCCCGCCAGGGTTGAAGGTCAACGGCGGTGACACTCTGCAGTCCTGTCAGTGTAAAATGACCCGTTCCACTCGATGGCACGCCACCGAACGCTAGCATTAAAACGACGACGACTCTTCTTTCTGAAACTAAGCTCCACAGGGGGACAGATGAGTGACCTGTGCTAAACCATTGACTTAAGTTAATCTCGATATTCCTGACAGCACGTCACTGTGCGGGGTTTTGAGAAGCCCCTCTGGGCCTCCCCTGTTGTTCCACAGGGAGGAAGGGAAGAAACAGCAACAGAGAGGCCACTTCTGAGGCGTGAAAAAGTATTGGGTCTGGCGATGACGCTCTCTGTACTGCCGCAGCCGTAGAAAGCCCCAGAGCGCCGTGAGCGCCTCCAGCCATTACTCAGAAATGCCATGGTATTTGGCGTCAGAGGATTTGTCTGTGTCATTCTTAAGCCACGGAACTTAATGTAACAAAAAGCATGCAGTTCGAAACCCTCCTGAGTGTGCCCTGTGCAGAGAAGTAGCAGGTTCTGTGCGGGACTTTGAACATGGCTTAGTCACCGGCCTCTTCTTGTGGGTGGGACACAGGTCGGGGTGACGGTTTTCACGGCTCCTCCTGAGCTGCGTGGTGTGTGGCGGAGGCAGCTGTTCCGCTCCGGTGTGTGTAGCTTTGGTCCCCTTCCCTTGTTCCTGCTGCTGGTCAGGGAGCGGGGGTGGGGTGGGGGGTGGCGTGAGAACTCGGGTTGGTTGCTGACGGATGTGCTTCCAGCCCCTGCTCTGTGCGGCATCAGCCGCGTGATTGCCCTGAGCAGGCCGTCCGGCGGCGCGAGGCTCGGCGCTGTCACCTGGGTGCTCCTGCGACGCAGGCCCCTCCACGTGGTCCTTCGAGAACAAGCAGTATCACCTGGCACAGTGCTTGGCACACAGCGGGCGGTGAGGGACAGCCAGGTTCCTTCCCCTTGAAAGTGGGAAGTGAGCCGTGCATGGGTTCGTGCTTCCCGTTTTCCACACCTGGTCTGCAGGGCCTGGGAACCCCGGACGTGGCAGTCGCTGAGGCGACCCAGCGAGCAAACGCCCGCCTCGCTTGAGGAGACAGGTGTGCGCTCTCTCTGAGCGGTCCAGGAACCGTCTCGGCTTTCTCCTTGTCTCGATTTTTCCTGGGATGGTGACATTTAACGACGAATGAAGGTACTCACATCGCAACCGCAGCGGATGAGAATAGAAACGCTGCGGCGGGGTCAGCTACACCCTGCTCACCGCACAGGGAGCGGGGCCAGGGCAGGCGAGGCCCCCGCGGCACACGCGCGGAGCCGGGGGCGGCGGCTCCTCTGTTCCGTCATCAGGATGGAGGGCTTCGCTAAGACGTGGCCCAGGTGCCATGTACGGGTTATAAGACGTTAGCCACCTTGCTGAGTTTTCTAACTTTTTTTTGGCCCTGTTTCTCAGTTGCTTATGCTGTGCTATTTTTATATAATTCTTTTTTAAAAATAGTTATAGCAATGTAGAGTTTTAAAAATAAATCTGGAAAATGGTTGCTACGACTTAGCATCGTCAGTCAGTCAGGTGTCCTGGGGAGCATCGTCAGTCAGGTGTCGTGGGGGGCATCGTCAGTGAGTCAGGTGTCATCGGGAGCATCGTCAGTCAGTCAGGTGTTGTGGGGAGGGGGAATCGTCAGTCAGGTGTTGTGGGGAGCATCGTCAATCAGTCAGGTGTCATGGGGAGCATCGTCAGTCAGGTGTTGTGGGGAGCATCGTCAGTGAGTCAGGTGTCATCGGGAGCATCGTCAGTCAGTCAGGTGTCATGGGGAGCGGGGAAAAGGGCATTTTCTTCCGTCTCCTTCAGTTTTCACCTTTGGGCGCGGTGGGGGCCAGAAGGGGCGGACAGTGAGCTGCTGTGGCCCGCACCGGGTTCGAGCGGAGCGGGCCGGCAGCCCCCTGGCGTCAGGCCCTCCTCGATTTTAAACTTAGTTCTTATGGTTCAGATTCATCTTCGGAATCAGACAGCGGGTTGAATCCTGGCTTTGCCGCTTACTGGCCAGGTGGCTTGGACCATGTCCCGTGCTCTGGGACACTGTCTCCTCGTGACGAGGAGGTCCGCGTAGTCCCGCCTGTCGGAACGCGCGGTCAGCGCTTAGCCTGGTGCCTGGCGCTGCTGAGGGGTCGGGGGCAGTGGCTCTGGCTGTAGCTCCTGTTAGTGTCATTGGTTCCGCCTCCGCGGTTACCTGAGAAAAACGTCCGTTGCTTGTCATGTTTCTTAAACAGTTTTTATACAGCCTTCTCATACTCCGTTTCCCAGCCCAGCATTCGAAGAAGTTCATCTTCAGGCTGCCTGCCTTTCTTCTTTTTTGTACAAACACCTCTCCAGTGTCTGCCTGGTCCAGGCACTGTGCTTTGGGGGCAGGACAGCGGCGGCGCCCGTGGTCACGGGGCTCGCGGTGCGGGGAGGGGAGCCAGGGTGAGCACGTGCCCCCTCTCTTCCTTTCCAGCACCGGTTCCTCTGCCCGCTCGTCTGTCTGTCCTTCTGTCCACTGCTTGCTTGTCCGTCTGCTCAGCCCTTCCGCAAGGCTTCCCCGAGCACCTTCTGTGTGTTGGCCACTGTGTTGGACACCAGCTGCAGGTCCCTGCCCTCTGGGGTGCAGAACGTGCCCCCGCAGTCCTTGTCGCTGGCCCTGTTTGGACAGTTCTGTGGATTCGGAACTTGGCTAACTAGCTTTCAGGTGTGCCATTTGCATCTCAGAGCCTCTCTATCAGGCACAGGTCAGTCCATGCGCCACATCCTGACAGCTTCCCCTGCCCTTTCCAGGGGAATTCATCGTGCTGCTTACGCTCCGTTCCAGCTACACCCACGTCTCTTGGCTTCGTGTGGTTCAACGGTCCCATGTGTCCGTCACGTTTTTACAGCAGGCACCATGCCAGGCACATGGATAACACCTGGCTCTGTCCTGACAGACCACATGCTCAGTGTGGCGTCAGGCGTGGTCACAGAAGTCTCACTGCACGCTCTGTTGTATTTCCGCTGCCTTTGCATGAAGGGATTTACCGGTGTGCCTCCTAGGAAGACAGTGACATTCACCAGTGACGGGAGCCCTCCAGCTCGATGCCCCTGTGCGCACGGCTGCGTGGCCTTCTTG